TCTCAGCCTTGTCTGAATTTGAGTACTATTTTGTTAAACCTTAACAGGCTGAGGTCAGTTGGCTGTGGTGGCCACCTTGATTTGGGGTGACCTAAGTTGCAGATGTATGGCCAACATGTAGTTTCTGAGAGTTTTGTGAATTTCTGTCCAGTGTTTCATGATATTTTTGCTAACATAGCAAACAAAGGCGCGCACATACACACAAGCAAACACACACAGTGCAGATATAAAGTATTCACCCTGCAGTGTTTTTATTGCTGTCATGGTCAATATAAACTGGACTTTTTGACAAAATTAAAATACAATAAAAACCATCTTCAGTGTCAAAGTGAAATCAGATTTCTATAGAAAAATAACAATTTGTTATTTAAAATAAGTGATTGAATAAATAAGCATTTCCTTTAGAGGGACTGTTCAAATTCAACTTAGAAAAGATGATTGAAAAGTTTGTTCTTTAAAATCTGTAAAGTGTTTGATGACTTATTTTGCTAACATGTTACATGTGAGCACACACATACACACAGGCAAAACATGCAGTGCCTATGAAAAGTATTCAACTTTCTTTGTTTTATGGTTTCGTTTTTACTCAGTCAGGATATAAATTGGCCTTTTTTGACATAAAAATTTTAAAAAGTGTCAAAATGAAAATAAATGTCTACCTTTTGCAGTGAGCAATGAATAAAACCTTTATCTTAAGCACCACAACGACAGGTTTTAAACATTTAACATTTTAAATATTTAGTAAATATTTGTTTTTATGTCCTGTCAGTTGAACTGATACAGAACTATCTCCACATATTTCACCTTAAGGGGAAAAACTTGACTTTATCTGCTAATAAAAGTAATAATTAAAGAACGCTCTCAGTGATCCTGATTTGTCACAGACAAAGATTTTTGAAAAGTTTTGAAATAAAAACAACTTTTTTTTTATCTCAAGTGGTATTTATGAGCTATGGAGTAAGAACAATAATTAAAAACGGGTACAGGCACAATAAAACCATTAACTTTGGAAGTTTGCTCAGACAGGCTTAAAGCTAAACTGAATGTATTTTCACAGTGAACGACGTCAGCTGGTTCCTCCCTGACCAACTTTAAATATTGTGAACGTCTTCTGTCCTCAGAGGTGCCAAACAACACTCTGCAGCTTGGAAAAAGTGTTTAAAAGACATGATGTCACCGTGTCCCACCCTGAGAGGGTTGTAGAGGCTGCACCCTGCAGCAGGGACGACCTCCTCTGTGATCGGCCACTCTCAGGTTTTAATTAATCAAGTTGACACATCAGTTTGATTTAAAGTTATCACTTTATATAATGATCTACATATAATACAGTCTGATGATGTCATCAAAAATATTTTTTGTCCATATTTTATCTCTCCTACAAGTTCCAGAAAAGTATGAATTGGCAATATTTTGCTTATTATCACTAAAAGCAAAAATTTATCTTACCGTGTTCTCATTTGTGCTTCTTTTCTGTAACAGAAAGAAAATTAATTAAGATTTCAGAGTTAACTTAGCTAAATTAAAAGTTGAAGTGTAATCTGATGACTTTTGCTTGTTTGTGCTCATCTTCTTTAAAAATAAGTGGTTTCTGTACGTTTTTGTGTTTTTCAGAACATATTAGAATGAAGACAACTCAAACGAACAAACTCAGTTAAGCAACCACTCATTTTGTTTCTTTGTATTTACTGGCTGAGTACCTGCAACAGTTTGGCTGCACTCCTCGTCTCCTGAAATACAAACACAGGCTGCAGATCAATACGGTGCCAAGTTAGAGAGGAAAAAATAAAGCTGCTAATTCAATAACTTCCTCTGGCTGCAGAAGATTTAATGCAGTATTCTGTCAAACACCAACTTAATTTAAAAGGACCAATACGATGGTAAAAATCTTCAATTTCTAACGTGTGAACTAGTTCTAAAAGAGCATAAATGAACTTTAGTTCAACAAAAAAGTGTTATAGATCAATAAAAAAAAACATCTATTAAAAATGTATTAATGTAAAATTACCATCGCAGCTTCATTGTCAGAGATGATCAGAGCTCCAGACGCGAGGCTGGAGACCAGCAGCAGCACATGGACACCCACCAGTCCAGACATGACTGAACTCTCAACGAACACAGTCCAGCTTCAGTACCCCGGGTGGGGTGAGGTGGAGTGAAGGGGGGGAGGGGGGGGACAAACATGTTAGTCATAAAGCTGAAAAAAAAAAACATCTGTAATCCTCGATACTTCTGCAGAAACTCATTCAAAATAATGATAAATAAAAGCTCAGGCAGTGTAAAGAGCCCATTACCAACAGGAACGTTGTTATTTATTGTGAGATATGAGTGTGAGATAACTTCTGCTGGTGTTACAACCAGGGATGATGTTGTGGATAAGTGTAGTTATAAGTGTTGATTATACGTTCATAATTATTATTGTAAGAAAACTGAACATGCAGCTGTCTGAGTTTATGTGAAAGTGAAGTAATCAGTCTCGACAAACATGTTCTTATAAACCCATTATCTCCACAAACAGAGCTCTGTGTGATGTTCAGGTTTTGGGAGCATGTTTGTGGTGCTGGCACCGGTGAACAGGACCTTTATTCCAACAAGACTCTGCTTGTGATCTGATGAGTCATTTTCACTGCACGACCGTACTCCCTGTTTTACTTTGAGGACTGAGTATGTGATCAGCTCTTGGTTTAGACAGCAAACTGTTTTTCACTTTCACAAATTAAGACACTTTTATTTACATCTAACATTTTTTGAATTTGCTTCAGACTTGCCCACCTTTTCCCTTGAAGCTTCTTTTCAATTCCCGTTTTGCCAGGGCTTGTTTCTTCCTCCCGCTCCTTCTCCCATATCTGCTCTGCTTCTGCTCTTTGTCCTGCAACTGTTAACTTTTTGGAGCTTCTCTTTAATTATCTTCTGAATTGTAAATCATGGATCTGGTCAGCTGGTCTCTCAACTCAATTGATCAAATTTTCTCAATGAGAAGACAGGGCGAAGGAGAGCCCTCCTGTCCTGACGGGACACTTGCAGCCAGATACATGATGGATTCCTGGGGGCAGTGGAAGGTCTTGTGTCTGTCCATAATATCGGTCGAGGAAGTTGAAGATATGTACATAATTGGATTTATGATACAGGGTTTCTGCTTTTTGGAGTTGGTGGTTACCTGGCATATCGACAAATTTGAAAAACGTCGGCAGCTGTTCTGGTCGTTGTAAGGCTGCTCGGCTTGTGTGAAGGAATGTGCCCTGCTGTGAGCACTCAGACTCAGATGCTGTGTGAGCTGAGTCATAAGCTGGATGGGATTCTTGCTGAGAATCGCAGGCTACTTGCAGCTCCTGAATCTCACTGGCAGGAAGGAACTGATCTTGGAGAAGTTACAAGCTCAGTCTGGCGAAATTGACCACAAATGTGGCTGTTTGGAGTCGCCATCGAGATGTACCAGTGAGACTGTAAGGCAAAAGGAAATTAACAGAGTCGGCCTGACCCAAAATAACTGTTGTCTGAATCTGGCAGCTATGTGAACAAGATGCTCTGCTCCCACTACCCTTCCCCAAGGACATCTGTGGACCTGTGTTAAAGCTCCACCGAGGTCGGCTGATAATGGCACCATCCTACATGGACTATGGCTGAGGGGGATATCTGGGCCAGTGTTCAGACATTATAAACACACTCCCCTCAAACTCACCACCTTCACTGCCCCCCCCCCCCCCCCCCACACACACACACACACCCACAGTGCAGTAACCTAGGTTAGATGTGAGGCACCAGGTGACTGCGATGCTCACTGGGCAGCCTGTGCTGGGAGCCCCTCCTCCCACTCCACCCTCACCCACTCCACATGCATATGTCTTATTATGTCATCTGTATGTTGCTGTTTTGTGCTGAGGTTTTTTTGCAACTCCACACTGTCCTGTTATGGACACAGTGTGACATATGATTTTTTAACCTCCTCTGTCCTCGTGGTTCCCTTTTCCTTATCGAATAAAAAGGGCAGCGCCTCCCATGAGGCTGCAGCCTCAGGCATGCACCCGTCTACCAATGTCTCATGTTGTTTGGTTGTCTTTTGTTTCTTTGGACGACTGTACTGAAATGAAATTTCATTGTGCTTCTTGTGCAGTGACAATAAAAAGCATTCTGATTCTGACTTATAGGTGTCTCTACTTCCTCGTCAGTCCCTGTCTATGTAGTTAAGGTACATGTTTAAGGTAAACAGGTAACTTTACACTCACCGTTCAAGCACTTTGCATTTTACATGTTACATCCGGTTCTTCTTCTGTTCTCCTCATGATTATTCCAAAGTTTTATTAAGAAGATTTTTCAACCACAACGTTTTGTTTTTGTTTAAAATACATTTTAGTTCTTTCTTCAAGTTCCTTGCATGTCTTCATTCTTGGGTTTCACCTCCTGCCATTGTGTTACTTTGTTCTGAAACTAAAGTGAATTCATGTTATAAACAAAAAAGAAAGACAACATATTTGAACCAATCAGTTTTATTGTAAACATAATAAAAACTGTCCATGTACAAATGTATTGTTAATACTTTTAGCCATTTAGACCATACATCATCATATGACAACACTGTAAAGTTTTAAATAATTTATTAGGATGTACAAAAAAAGTCATAGCATGCACAACAGTAATTAAAATAAGACATGTTCATTTATCCCTCTTAATTTTTATAAACGCACTGTCACGTCAGTCCTCACAGATCAGTGCTGCATGAGAAACAAGTTGAAGGTTGTTGATCATTTGTTGAAGACGCTGGCTGAGGGATCTCTGGCAGCAGCCGGCTTGGAGAGGACTGTCTCTGTTCCCGTCCTCACTCCGCTGAACACAGATGGAGCCACCTTACCCATCCTCTCTGAACACAACCACACACGCATTATAAACACAAAGGCCAAACCTCACAAATAAGTAGACTACACTTGGACTTTGTCGCTGCATGTGTCAAAACACGTCTAAAACAAGTGTTTCTACCTTTTTGTCTGATTTTTAGTTGAAAAGTTGCATTTCTTTTAAAATTAATTCACTTGTGATTCAAGTTTAGCTTAATTTTGATCATTCAAATGGCTATTTTGTAAAATGTTTAACTTTGGTAAAGGATTCACCACTAAACATTTGACATAAACCTTTTGTGAACTACTACTCCACATGATCTCAGTGATAGAAGCACTGAAAAGACTAAACCACCGGATAAACTGTCTGACAACAAATCCTTATATTCAAACAAACTGTATTCAAAAGTAGCTAAATTACCAAAAATTGTTTTCAGACACAATTATATAGATTATTATGGTTATTTAAGGAGTAATTGTGAATATTATTGTCTTTTTTTCTCCTCAACTCAGTCTACACGGGTATTTTACTGACATTTACTTTGACATTTCTTTATTCTTTCTTTCTAAATTCTTTTCTTTAAATTGTATTATATTTGTTGCTTGGATGAAATGAAATGAATAAATAAAACATACATACATACATACATACATACATACATACATTTCAAACTTTGCCACATCGGCGCATGCGCAATGACAGCCCAGCCGTAAAGGTTGTTGTAATGGAGCACTGTGGATGTGCGAGAGTAAAGTTTCCGAATCCGGTGATGGCATTACCGCAGTTTGCAGTAGATTAAAGTTTTGTGACGTATCAGGCGCTCTTAACGCCCCACTGAGCTGAGACTAAAACTAAAAGACTGTTATAACAGCTGAGTCAAGTCGAGTAAAACTGATGCTATTAGCCAGCTAGCTTCCGCTACATTGAAGCGCCGCTGGAAATATTCGTACAAATCTACAAGGTATGACGAAATTACAAGAAAAAACATATCCCAATCACGTATTTGTATTGAACGCTATATGAATATACTAACGTACGAAATTCCCCTGTGTTAGATTTAAAAGAAATATATTATGTGTGCTCAACTACTTTCCCTGGTGGTCTAGTGGTTAGGATTCGGCGCTCTCACCGCCGCGGCCCGGGTTCGATTCCCGGTCAGGGAACTTCTTTTTTAATTTTATTTATTTTTTCATAGCGGCATTGAAACAAAGGCAACATATTTGAAAATACTTTTATTATTTTTATTATTATTATAATTATTATTATTATTATTATTATTATTATTATTATTATTATTATTATTAATAATAATAATAATAATAAACAGGTAAATGAAAAATGAATGTATATTGAAACTGAACAAATAAACAATAACTAATCTAATGAAATATGAGATTAGCCACTGTCCCCTGCCCCGTGCATTGATATTTAAATGATATTCATACTTATGCTTCTCAGCCTTTATTTTATTAATTTAGAATATGTACCAAGTACACCTAGAGTCAGTGTTGGACCTGGTATTAGTTTTCTTTGCTAAAAACAACACCGTTAATGAAAGAGTCTACTCACCACACTCCGCCATGACCTCATAGGTCTTACTCTTGACCTCGCCCTTCAGCCCCAGTTTACTGCGAGCTCCTTTCAGGTCCTCCTCCTTCATCGGTGGACGCTTCTTCCTCACTTCACCTGGCTTCAGAGAAGGAAAGCAGGAGTGGTTCTGTGAATATCTGGACTCACGCTTGAACCAAAGGCTAAATGTACCCAACATGTGACGTTACGTACCTGTGACATGGTTGTTACTGATTCAGCAGGCTCGATTGTTATTTTGCTCTGTCTGCCTCCTCAGCCTGACATTATATATAGTCCTGGTCAGCCCCCAGTGAGTCGCTCAGACCCCCCAACACTGGTGTCACTCCTGTTTGTTGTCAGGGTGTATTATTAGGTGTGACGTGAGGGATGGTACAGCTGGGATGGCTCCCCTAAACACTCAGGCCAACAGCTGATCATTTGGATCACTAAAGGGACTGGGCACAAAGAATAATAAAAAAAGAGTGTGTCCACCTCCCTGCTTTGACGGGTGGGGCTGATTTAATTCCTTTTGGAGTATTGGAGTTTGTAAGAAACACTTCCAGACACTTTACATATCAACAAAACCAAAAGGGTCCAAGAAAAACTGATCAGAGTAAATCACACTATCATTTTTTAAAAATCAAATAAATAGTATTTGCTAGGTTTATTTAGTAAATTTTGTGTAGGAAATGTTATTTTTACTTCTCCGATCATTAAATCAACAGAACAAACATCACCAGTTAGTCAAAACGTATGGCAGCATTATTTAAAATAAAGAAATGAATGAATGGATGATGGACACGCTGACTCGTTGTTTTAAGCTACATACTCTGTGGTCTGGTGAGAACACAAACATTTATTAAAGCAAATGTGAAACATCTTTACAGCACGTTTGGCTTCACATAACTTTAATCTACATCCTAAAAGGAAACAGTTAATTATTTTTAAGATTAGGCTTAAGTCTTTCCTTTTTTGATCAATCCTATATTAGGGTTGGCTTGGGTTTCCTGAACTATCCCTTAGTTATGCTGCTATAGAAAAACTGACTCACTCTGCTGCTGTCTTTACTTACTCTAATCTACATGTTTGAAATTATTTTTATCTTAACATGGTTTTTGTCATCCTCCTATAGAAACCTGGACCTGCCATTGTGTATCTGTTCCTCCTTCTTGTTCCTCTCAAACTCCAGCCGGTCGAAGCAGATGTCCGCTCATCCTGAGCCTGGTTCTGCTGGAGGTTTCTTCCTGTTAAAGGGAGTTTTTCCTCTCCACTGTCTCCTTTGGGCTTGCTCAGGATGGGAGACTGTGACAAAGTGAAGATTCAACACAATCTGCTGCTTCCTGAGATAGAGAACTTTACTGATTGGCTTTTGTACATGAATGTTTCTGAGACGACTTCTGTTGTGACTTGGTTCTACACTGTATATAAATAAACTGAATTGAATTTAATAAAATTAAAGCTCTTCGGCAACAGAAGGAAACAAGTGAAATATTACGTAACCTCACATTGAAAATGTTACCAGGACGGCTTTCTTGCACCTGCTTGGGTTTCCCAAGTTTTCCCTTAGTTCTGCTGCTAATGCCCACACTCCCTCGCTGTGCTGCTGTTTTTATTTGTGATATCATTCACCACAGCGACACTAAAGTTCAGGTCAGTCTCTGATCAATCAATCCTGCTGGTAGAGACCGGATCATGCCAACACACTGAAGATGAACTCTGGACTGAATTGCCTCAGCTCTCTCCAGTTTGGAGCGCCTGTGTGTACCCACAGACACTGCCTTGACCCATGGCCTGGAGATGTCCTACATGCAGCTGGACTCCTTCTGCAAATGACAGAAACCAGCCGTGCACACAAGACCCAGACTGAGGAGGAAATGCTTTTTTAAATAAAGCTTTGTGATTCAGTAAAGCTTATTCTTTTATTTTTATAATCAGGAGGAAGGCGGTATTCTAAATGCACAGAAGTGATGAAATATGAGTTGTTTCCTTTGCGAGAACTAAGGAGTTTAAGTTATACAGTAGCTAAAATAATCTTATGCACTAGAGAAATTGAAGCTGTTTGCCTGTGGACTCTAGCTGGTCTTGGTTGGGTCACGTTGGATCAGGGGCGATGGGAGCGTTACCTGCATTTATCCTCATTACATTTCTTTATGCCTTTATTTTTAGATTATGTGCTTTTATGAGTATGCCCAAGGTTTAACTGAACATCACAGAGTCTGTATACAGGTGACACATGGGTCCTCACCCAATCCTTAACATCTCAAAATAACACGAGCAGCACCAGTTTTCAGTTTGTCACTCAGTTTACTTTTAAACAGGACCAGTAGTCAGACATCGTATACATGTATTCAGCTCACACACACACACACACACATGCGCGCGCACACACTCGGCCCACCAGTCCACGCCCGTCATTTACAGTTTAAAGGTCTAAGCAAGGTAACATTCTTATCAGAGCCTGCTGAACGCTGCTTTATGCTTGAACATCTGAAGCTCTGTTTCAAACAAAACCACCCAAAACTTTAAAATAAAAACAAATAAAAACTCCTCTTTTTACTCAGGCACATTTCAGAGAAAACTAATGGTTACACAGAAGACAAAAAAAAAAAGGATGTCCGATTGGAAGATGTGCAAAAAAAACCAACACGCTCTGGATCGAAGGAATGAAAACGTCTTTGGGAACAAGCGGAGTTGCGGAGTTGCTCTTTTTGGTCCCCCCCCCACTAAAAAACAACAAAACTGAAGAGCAAATTATTAATAAAACATAACGAGTATCACTGCCCCAAACAAAACGAGACAGCTGTGATGTGTCGACAGACAGAGGCTGACAGTAGAACTGCTGCAGCGTGGTAAATGTAGTCCTACTCCAACAGATCTTAAATCCATCAAAACACAAAATGAAGATTATTACAACATGCTCCCTTTGACATAAGTGTTATCTCATACAAGATATGGAGTTATAAAGTTTGTAACACTAGAACTGCATCAATACAGTGATCCAGCGCTCATTTATACGACGAGGAGTGTGCAAATGTAAACTCACACATCCATCCATCCGAGGCCTTGGTGGTAACTCTACACGAGAGAAAAGACGAAGCGGACGTCTACATTAGGAATACTTTAGAAACCTGTTCTGGTAGCAAAGGTAACCAACATGATAAACAGAGTAGGTAGCATGTTTGTTTAACTTGAGGTCACTAACCAACCTGACTGGAACCACCACACTGTTGAGTCCAGTCTGTGAATCATTGTTAACGTCTCCTCTGATGCTTACAATAAACACTTTAACTGTGTAATGTTTGTTCACGATGGGATTTCTTTCTCCGCACCTTTAAACCCAACCGTTATCTGAAAAGTGCCATGTCGACATGCATCAAAATCATGGTTTACTTATATTTTAGAGTCCCAGGTCAAAGTTCATTATCATTGGTCTTTTAAGAGGATCCTTTGTGAGGACACAGACGTGGGCCTGTGAGGTGAAGAGCCACCAGAAGATATCCATGTTAGTGGCAAAGCTGTGCACGAGTCAAACAGGGATTCCCATGCGAAGTTTCTTCTTCTTCACCGTCTTCAGACCAGGGAGTCGACGGACATCGTCTTCATCTGACTCATCCATCTCATCATCTGCTGAAAACAGAATCTAAAAAAAAAAAGAAGAAAAACAATATTAGGTTGAAAATGCTGGGAAGTCAGACTTTGTTAGATTATAAAATTTTTCTGAAGTCTGTCAGAAAAAGACAAGAAAGAAAAGGTTTTTGAGTACAAAACAAAGCTGATGGTTTATGAAGTCATGTTCTGGTAAGTCATGACTGCTGCGGCTAAATATCGCCTGCACGGTCCTCCTTCAAGTATCTGCAGGAAGCCATAAATAGCTCATCTATTTCAGGGCACATTATCCAGACTGAATTCCAGGCAGCTCTCAGTGCTAGAGGTAAACATGAAGTAAAGTCTAGAATAGAAAGTAGTAGCCAAAGTTGTATAAAAAAAAATGAATAATGTGAAAAAGAGGAAAAAAATATACAAGGAGTACATCCAAGAAGGAAGTTTATGGGAAGTGATACTCCTCACATCTCTGTACTGTGAGAAAGTACAGAAAAAACACAAAGTGAACAGTCTTATTATTTTAAAAGTTTTTATTTGATGCTTTTAAACAAAGTAGCACACACACCAGAATGCTCCATATAATTATTTAATTAACTTTATGACATTTATTAATTCGGTCACATTAATACTGCAAAAAACGATTGTTAAGACACTTAACTAGCCAGGGACTACAGATGAAAATAAGTCTGACTAAACCTGGCACGTTTACAGGACGTGCATGTACTCATGTTTAAATAATGTGCATCATCGCGCTTTTTAAATTGACAAAACAAAAATAAATAAATAAAAATATGATAATTTTAGGGGTTTTAAATGTTTATTATTATTATTTCTATTGGTATTTAAGGCAATAAAGGAATCTCATCACTATCAACTGAAAATCAGGTTACTTTTGCAATGATTTAAAAAAAAAAAAAAAAAAAAAAAACCTCGAGCCAGCCAGGAGTCGAACCTAGAATCTTCTGATCCGTAGTCAGACGCGTTATCCATTGCGCCACTGGCCCGGATGTGAGGCACGTGGAAACAACCATTGAAGATTCTGCGGAGGCTTCCTGACGGGTCCACTCCGTCTGGACAGAGCAACAAATACTGAGCCACTGCCTGCACAGCTCCGTGTGGAGCTGAAACACCCATCACGAGGGACCGACGTTTTGTCAGAGTGAAAAGCGCGCGACAAACAGGAAATGTGAGGCACAAATAATGAATGACTCCCAGCAGCCGAACACGTTCACTTTACTGTGGAAACGAATCTTGAATCCCCAACACGTGTCTAACTTTAACTTCCCTCCTGCTCACTGCGGCAGAGTCAGCCTCCACTGAAAAAGACGCGTCTCAGTTTTTGTTGTGCGCGCATACACGTGGCGCATACACGTGGTATTACGGTAAAGAGCCAGTCGGTTAGACTGGATCAAACCCTTCTGGCTGAGATCTCGTTCAACCCGGACCCTCCTGCATTCATTGTGTCCGTATTTATATTTATTTATTTGGTGCTGTCCGTTTAACACGATTGTTCAGAACGAAGCCTAAAAATCCTGTTTTTAATTTTGTCAGAATATTGTTAAATGCTCATGTAACCTTACAGTGTCATGACGCCCCCTCGTGTTCCTGGGGATGGGGGAATCTACCATAAAGAAAATGCATTATAAATGCTTTTTTTTTTTTAATCCCATAAGGGTTCATGTCATAAAATTATTTCAGTTTTTTTTTTTTTTTCATTTTACCTCAATTTCTACACTTTAATTTTTATAGTAGCTCGCTCAGTGATGCTTTGAGTTTTTATGTTTGAAAGCCTCTGTAAAAATGTACGGGGACAGGCTGCCACTGATCCTGGCTAGATGTTGCTCACGAGTTCCATCTCTCCTCTCAGCTGACAAAATCGTGTTAGTTTGAATGTTAAGACCAAAAAAAAAACAATGTGCACGAGTAAACATTCAGTAGAAAAAAGCAGCTCCACATGCATGCAGGCTGCAGAACCAGATGTCCCACAGCTGCCTGAAGTACAGGTCAAAGTCCATCACAGAGACACTAATAGAGACAAACTATCATTGTCACTCACACCTGGGGACAATTTAGAGTTACCAATCAGCCCAACGTGCATGTTTTTTGGGAAACTGGAGCACCTGGAGAAAACCCACACATGCACGGAGAGAACATGCAAACTCCACTCAGAAAGGTCCATTCAATCAGAAACCTTCTCGCTGAGAGGCAACAGCTCTACCAACTGTGCTGTCCTTGTTAAAAAGTACAAACATTATAGTTAGAATGTGTTAAATATCTGTACAGAGGCACAAGCATTCTCTGCTCAGCCTTCTAAATATTCTTTAAATTGGTCAACAGACTTAATAACTTTATTATCTAGTGGTGCATAATTACAAAGAGTTTTTATATTTCTCTTTTGTAATGAAACTACAAATGTATTTGGGGAGTACAGGCCCTTAAAATAGTGACTGAAACGTTTTCCCTGTGTTTAAAAAACATTTGTGAGTGGAGAGAAACGGGTCACACCCAATGTATACAATAACATGCATCCAACCACTTCACACCATTTTTGTGAGCTGATTGAAAACTAATCAGTTTAACTCTAGGGCTATGCAGCGTAAAATAAAATTAAAAATAAAATGCAACATTGTTTGGTTTAATATTCACATAACTAAAACTGAAACAACTGGGAAAAACTGGAGCTGGTGTGTAATAAAGCTGTGTATGGCAAACCATTTTGATATCAACATTTTTCTGTGAATTATCTGGTCTTATGGCATTTTAGTCCAATGGGGTGACTTAAACCATGCACCGTTATCCAACATCTGTTTAAATAAAGCTCGTTTCCCTTCCACCTTACCCATGTAGTTGGATCCAATCTGATCCAAGAGTCACAGCAGAAAAAGTAGGAAGTTAAACAATGAAGCTGACTTCTCTCTGCTCTGTTTCACTGATTCAGATTTAAGTTATTAAAAAAAAATCAGTCTTTGTGTGATTTAACATTGTTTTATAGTGTTGTGAACAAAGTAGCAGAGTCTGTCGGGATCTAAGGGCTGCTGTGATGGGTGAAGCTCTGGTGCTTATGCCACTGGGTCTGGAGACGCTCCAGTTCAAATTAAAGAGCTGAACATCAGATAATGTCCAAAATTAACATTCAAGCTGAACAGAGCTTGCACTGGAGCAACCGGTCTTCACCACTTAACCAGAATGCATTGCAACATGAATAAAATGGTGACGTTTGTGTGTCAGTACTTTAAAAAAAAAGGTAAAAACCAAACATCCTACAGTATTTTTACGGTCTCGTTTGTATAGGACGGTGTATTGTTCCAACTAGTTGAAGATCCCTTTAAATGTTCAGTCATTTTTAGGCTGCAAAAGGGAGACCCACTACCATCATAATGTTATATGATACGGCTGCACGATGCTTCAAGGAGGGGTCGTGGGTGATCAGGTTATTGGAAATGATCGATCTAAGCAGGCTGTTTCAGGAGGGCAGTTTGTCCCCAGCTCCTGTGTCTCATGAACAGTATTTATACAATGGCAGTCGTGTCATTGAGGCTTTAGTTGTTCCTTTGGACGTCCAGTCACCAGCTGAGCTTACCTCTGATTCAGAGTCATCGTGGGAAAGAGCTCGTCTGTAGCGAACCTTGCTGTTCCCCCGAGAGTCGTCTTCTCTCTCCTCCAGTTTTGCTTTTGTCTTGTGTTTCTTCATCAGGAAATTATCTACCACCCAAAACATGAGGGCCTAAAGCCAAACATAGACAACAACGGTGAAAAGTTTCTTAAGAAACAAACTGAAAGGATTTGAGCAAATATGAAAACTGGGAAGATTTCTTGAAGCAAATGCGTGAAACAAGACAATGAGTATGGTATGAACAAAACAGTGATGTTTAGGATCATGAGTACAACTGAATCCAGGACTAACAAAAATAAAAAAACAGACACATGTAATAACTGCAGACTTACATTGACGAAGAACGGGACGATGAGCATGACAATGGCCAGTTCCAGGTCAGGATTGTTTATGGGGTTGTGGACAGCCAGCTGTGAGACACACAATAAACATATACTTTATCTTGATCTACTGGGATTCTACGAAATGACAAAAATCCAAAAGCACATGGGCTGAGCCACAGTGGATCAGATGGGTCAACTTCTCTTCAACAAGAGTGAAAAAGTGACACAAAGCTGAGTGAAACTTTTATAAACCACACAGCATCTGTCCTAATTAGCATTGTTCCAGTATGATCAAACTTATCAATAAACTGGCTATAGCTCCAAAAAACTGGTGCCAATTCTTTGCTGGGCCAGGGCAAAGAACCGTTTGATTGTTTTTGTTGATTTTTTTTAGGAGCTCTCAGAGACCAACACATTCAAATGTTGAAAGAGTGCCATGGATTAGTTTAGATTCCATCCATTATCTTTACCCGCTTTTCCCATTTCAGATTGTGAGGGTCACTGGTGTCCATGTCTAGTAGTCACTGTGCGAGAGGCGGGGGACACCCTGGACAGGTCTCCAGTCCATCACAGGGACACAAAGAGACAAACAACCATTCACTCTCTCACTCACACCTAGAGACAATTTAGAGTTACCAATCAGCCTAACATGCATGTTTTTGGTCTGTGGGAGGAAACTGGAGTACCCGGAGAAAACCCACGCATGCTCATTTAATTTAACTTCACTATAAATAAGTGTTCACATTTGCAGTGGAATGAAACGAACTCGGTTCTTCATCTTCCTGCAATTTGAGTGTTTGTTGTTTAAAATGGACAGCCGTGTAGTTTAGAGCACCACACCTTCACAACCACATCTTCTGTCGTTTTGTTAAAGACTGTTTAAAGCATTTATTTCATCGTTCGTCTCCTCCTCTCCCTCTCCGCTTTGCTTTTGCTCTGTCCTGTCAGTGAAACTGCTTTAGAGCCTCTCTTCTACAACTCTACCGAATCATAACTATGGACTTGGATTTGGTCAGTTGGTCCCTCAACACAATTGTTTTGAAGAGAAGATGGGCTTTAGGCGAGACGATTTGCCTTGTTGGCACGCACGCAGCTGGATATCTCATTGACTTTGAAGACTTGATGACGTGTCTATCTCTGCTGTCATCTGTGGATTTTAAGGACATGTTTATAATTGGATTTATGATAACTGGTTCCTGCTTTTGGATTCAGCTGGTTCCTGGTCTATCAACAAACAAGGAAGTTGTCCGCAGCAAATCTGGACCTGATCAGGCTGCCTGCCTTATACGATGGCTTGGTTCGTGCCTCGAGCACCCAGACTCTTGGCAGAATGGATCAGATCTCGGGGTTTATTCTCAAGCACGTTTCATTGGTATGGTCATTTAATTTGGATGTTTCGGAAGCGAGTGGACTGAGCGGACTCAAGGTAGACGTCATTAAAGTTCTGCCTGTCCCCAAAACAATTGTGTTTATCTGAATTCGGCTCCCTGACTGGCCTTGACAGGCCATCTTATCTCAACCCACCTGGAAGTTGGAACTGAGTGATTTTATCTGAACTCTGCAGTGTCTCTGTATGTTGTCTCTGGCTGCTCACCGCCCTTGCGTCCCCCTCAACCCCCCCGCGTAATGTCAGCGTCATTATGTGCTTGTGTGCAAGATTTTTTTCATGCTCACACTGTTGACCTTCAAACAGAGGTTAAAAGCGTGTTAGGATTTTTTTTTTCTCCAAACCCTATGAGTCATTTTTCACCATTTTTATTGTCTCTCGAAACAGGTCTCACTTGTAAAAGAGTCTTCGAGGCTCAGTGTGACTCATCTGCTTAAATAAAGGTTGAATTAATGAATTTCTAAGGAACCAGTTAAGAACTGGCTCTGGCACCAGGCTGGTTAAGCACTTTAGTGAAAAAAGATCCTACTACATAACAGCATACAAATAAACTAACAGAAACCAGATTTGCCCATTTTACATGAACACATGGCTGTTTTAGTGTCAGCCTAAAGCTTCCAGCCAAACCTCAACTTTTCATTGCCCCCCACCCCCGCCCCCACCCCAATGGCTGATGGGAATCATGTGGCGCACCAGAGCATTGTGACAGAGTCGTGACAACAATGTTTAAAATTCCCATTTCACTTGTTTTTCTTATCCTTCAGTTATTCTTGCATCCTTTCCCATGGTGGACTTTTTTTTTTGCAAATGTATGTTTGAAAAGTGAGAAAACCAACAGGGTTTGGTCAAACAATGGTGCTTCTGTCCAAAAAGGAAATAAGAGCACAGAACTGAGCAACAGGAAAGTGCCGTGATTTAGGTGATAAAATTAGACCAATGCAACTGCCCATATGTTTAGTCTATGTGGTGGTGTGCAAAGATATTGTTTTGTTTTTTTTAAAGACTTTTCCAATCAACAATGGGAATCAACATCTGTCAGTCATTTTAGAAAGTGAAACTCTTTTCTTACATGGATTCATTACACAGAGTGAAATATTTCAAACCTTTATTTGTTGTAGTTTTGATGATTATGGCTTAAAGATAATGAAAAAATAAAATTCAGTGTCTCAGAAAACTAGAATATTGTGATAAAGTTCCATATTAGAAACTTGGGCACAGATGAATCCTAGACTTCCTCAATTCAAACAACTCCTGAACCAGAAGTGTCTTACTGTGGACTTCAGAAAACACAGTGGACCAGCACCAGCAGAGGACATGGACACAAACCATCACTGACTGTGGAAACTTCACTCTGGACTTCAACAACGCAGATTCTGTTCCTCTCCACTCTTCCTCCAAACTCTGGGACCTTGATTTATAAATGACATAAAAATTTACTTTTATCCGAAAAGAGGACATTGGAACACTGAGCAACAGTCCAGTTCTTTTTGTCCTCAGCAGGTAAGACGCTTCTGATGTCGTCTCTGGTTCAGAAGTGTCTGGACTTGAGGAATGAGACATTTGTAGCTCATGTCTGGAGTTAATCAGCTGATCAGGGTGAGACACCAGGAGTTTACAATATGGAACTTCTTCATTAAATTATAATTTTCTGAGACATTGAGTTTTGTTTTTTCATTATTTGTAAAGCATGATCATCAAAATTACAATAAATAAAGGCTTGAAATATTTCACTCTGTGTAATGAATCTATGTAATTTATGAGTTTCACTTTCTGAAATGACTGACAATAAATATTGAACTTTTTCACATTCTAATTTTTTAGATGTACCTGTATTAGTTCCTCTCAGTTTAAAACAAAACCATGAAATGACCACAATACTCAACAATCATTTTATATTCTTCTTTTTCTTACATTTTTCCACTGGGGGATGAGAAGGACCAGCATGATGAGAACTTTCTCAAACACCATGATGAGGATGTAGAGGATGCACTGGCCCAACCACGCTGTGCACTGCACTGGCTCTCCTGTGTACACCAAAATAAAAACACACACAAACTTACTAACCCTGGTGTTGTTCTTTGACCTGTGACCTTAGAGAAAAAAAATACGCCATCTTATTTAATTTTTTTTAAATACTATTTTTAAAAATGTTTTTCCACAAAAAAAGTAAGTCTTTTGGAGCTATCTCAGCCTGAAATAAAAATATAAAATTTAAATGACTTTTTATTTGAACTCTTTAAGGATGTTTTGTTAGTTTTTTTTTTAATATCCATACTTCAATTAAAAAATAAATAAATCATAAAATATTTATTTTGCAGCAATTTTTTTGAATAAAAAAAAAAAAAAAATCCCACCA